ATTCATTATCGAAATTCAATAACTGAATTATATCGACCGAATCGACGAACTAATTGATTTTTTTTTCATTTCTTTTTTTCTTTTTTTACCCGATTTTTTCTTATTTTTAACCCCAATTACCCAATTGTTACGGTCAACCAGCGATCGAATGCCCATTATACCAGAAGCTCGCGGTTTGGGTCGTGGCAAATTAATTTTCGTAACTGGAAAAAATGGCCGCGCTTGCCTCATTGGCTTGTCGCAAACTCCGTTGGCGATTTGCCTTGCTAATTTGTCCGTAATAATCATTAACCGCCACAGTAATCATCTTTAAATTATTATATAAATGCTTGACAGTGAACGTTTCGTAATTTCAACTACGTTCTCTAATGTTAGAAGAAGTCTAATCATAATTTCGATATACATTTAATAATTTTAAATCTGATACTGATAATAAACAAGCAAAATTAAAAAAGGCGTTAAAGTAGCTTTAAAAATGACCAAATGACAAGCAAACACATGAAGGACAGGGTGAAAAGACCGACGATGTCACAAAACTGACTTTTACAGAGAAAACTCATTTAATGTGACCAAATACCAGGTTAAGTTGACTAATTAAAAATTCTTATAAAATGGACATCGTCGGTTTTTCCCTTACCCAACATATCACTTTGACTAAAATTTTGATTAAAATAAATATTTCTCTGAGTCTCAAATAAGTGCAAATATTTTAGGGGTGATATATTTCGATCCTAGAAACAACTTTATGAGATTTTTTTCGCGGAAAAAATGAAAAATTCTCTACTTTTACAATAAAAAATTGTAAGGTGTGCATGTTTGAAGTAAAATTTCTTTCTAACATCTATTAAATTGAAGGATTTGAAGGACATGTCTGAAAAAGTGTAGTTTGAAATGTTGAAAAAGTAATAAAATAAAAATTAAAAAATAATTTGATTCACTTTCACAAAATTTGTATTAAAATGACCGTCTGTCTGTCTGAGGACTTCATTCGGGTACCTCTATCCACGTGCCCTGTTTGGTTCCGATCGACACATAATTAAGAAAAATCCTGATGATTTGGTCCATTTAGAGACATCGGTTCGAAACGTCAAGGGCGTCATCCTGTAACCCGTCCCCAATTATGCCGAAATCGACTCACATTTTTTTTCAATATCAAATACTTAACTTGATGAAGATGTAAATGAAACGACGTATTTGTCAAACGGACCGTGTGGCACCGTTCGCTCATATAGCCTACCCACCAAATTTGGTGGCGATCGGACGACATTCACTTTTGACGTTTCTTACGTCAAAACCAGCTGTCACAGTAACACGTGTCGTCAAGCTGGCCTTGGTCCAATCTATCGACATACCAAATTTCATTTAAATCGGACGATGTTTTCTAAGCGGTAGGTTGTCCTTACCACTTTCCTCTTGCGTGTTGTGTCTCGTGTCGTCTCGCATGTCGTGTGAATATCGGCCTTGAATTTTTACACCCAGCGCGCGTAAAGAAGTAAAATTTGGTATGATAGTATATGTCATAAATTAGGATTGATTGACGGTATTCAATTATTTCTGATCACTGCCTGTTTCATCGGAAATGACGAAAGCTTTTGATTTTTAAGTTTAACAAAGCCATGACACTCTAGATTGAAATTTAAAACACGATATTTTTTTAAGCGAGAATGTCAAAAGTTGAGATATGATATGTCATTCTATTTAGAGTCTCATTTTCTATCGAATAAAGTAAAAAAAATACCGGGGAAATATTATAAAATATTATATATGATAACTAGCGTGTACCAGCGACTTCGTTCGCGTCGACTTAATCATTTGTAATGGTGATGATAAAGCAAAGCAAGAATTTCCATTAACATACAAACTGGATAAAATTTTCTCACATTTATGTCAGCATGAGAAAAAACAATATGGCGATATTATTATATAACTTGGTAATATTTGAGGGGTAGTTTCATCTTGTTGGAATTTGACTTTCGAAAAATCCGTTTGCCAAAAATAAGCTTTTTACGTCAAGCAGTTTAAGCAGAATCGTGGTTAAAAAATTACCTATTAACTTTTTGGAACACCCTGTATGATTTTTTAAAAAATTTCAAAATACGTAAAATACCAAATGAATTATGCTTGTCCAAGCGTTTTCCCGAAAGACTAACCGTTTTTTAAATAACAAATATTGTAATATTTGAGGGGCGTTTTCACCCTCTTGGAATTTGAGATTCGAGAAATCCCTCCTTATCGAACCTCTACACCCCACAGTCAATCCGTTTACCAAAAATCAGCTTTAAACGTCAAGCAGTTTAAACAGAATCGTGATTACTCAATGGTCATATTTTATGAAACACCCTGTCTAAATTTATAAAAAATCTTAAAATATGTATATGTAAAACAACAAAATAAAATATACGTGTTTAAGAGTTTTTCCGAAAAACTCACCGGTTTTTAAATAAAAAATATTTTAATATTTGAGGGATAGTTTCACCCCCTTAGAATTAGAGTTTCGGAAAATCTCTTCTTATCGAACCTCTACACCCTAAAGTCAATCTGTTTTCCAAAAATCAACTTTTTACGTCAAGCGCTTTAAGCAGGATCGTGATTAATCAATGACCAGATTTTTCGAAACACCCTGTATATATTTTTAAAAAATCTTAAAATATGTAAAAAAAACAAAATAAAATATACGTGTTTAAGCGTTTTTTTTCGGAAACTTGACCGTTTTTTAAATAAAAAATATTGTAATATTTGAGGGGTGGTTTCACCCTCTTGGAACTGGAATTTCGAAAAATCCCTTCTTATCGAACCTCTACACCCTAGAATCAACCTGTATGCCAAAATTGAGCTTCTTACGTTGAGTGGTTTGAGCAGGATCGTGATTAATCAGTGTCAGTCACTTAAGGATTTTATATATTGGTATAGATTTAAAAATCAAGAATTGTAGTCATTTCCAATACGTCAATCAATTCTAATTTATGTCATATACTAACATACCAAATCTCGTAATCAGATAATAAAATCTAAAAAAATAAAAAATTTATAGGGGTGAGCCACTTTTGAGACTCACCAATTTAGATTGGCCCGTTATAAAACCTAAATAAAAACAAATTTAAACAATATGCTTTTGTTTTTGCTAAGGTGTTAATTATAATTACATTAAAAGCTAACTGTAGAAAAAGATATACATATGTGGGTATGACAAAAGTCCTAACTTATCTTTTTTAATGTCAATAATTGTCACTTTTTTATATATTTGTTAGTTTATTTTTTAGTCACGTACTCTGGAATATTTTTTACCATTTAAATTATATTATTTCTTTGTCGATCATTCATACTAAAATTTTACAATCTTATAGAAAAATATGTTTACAGAAGTAAATTTTACCCTGTATTCTGAAAGACATAAAAAATAAATGCTAGAAGAAAATATTCTTATATCAGTCTCTTATATTGTAGTTAGCTATTATTAGTTAACTGATAGGTATAAAGTTATATTAAACAAAAAGTATCCATTTAGATATATAGATTAAACTTTAAATCAAGCTTAAGGTTTACTAGAAGATATAAAATTGGGCCTAAATGATTAAATGGATGACGTGGAGTTGAATTCGGGAACGCAGTATGTATATTACCTTATTTATTCATTCAATCGTTCATTCATAGATGCATCAACCACCCGATCGCCATACTAGTAAAAACATTAATAAAGCTATCGGATAAAAAAAAGTTGAAAGTACCGGGCGTATTCAAATCAATTCATCTTGTGAAACGGGCATAAATTTTCCTGATTCGACCGTAAAAAAACTGTTTGTTTCCGTTAGCGTGTGTCATCTTTCAAGCACCAACAACCTTTGTCATTAGGGATCGGTGTTATTCAAAGTAGGTTTTTAATTTAAATTATAATGGAATACAACTCGTCGGATATAGGATGATATGCGAATTTCTTGATGCAACGCCCCTCTCTCTCAACGCATAGTACAGTAGACGCGCGATATAATGAACATGCTGTATAGTAAACTAGTCTAAATAGTGAACAGACAATTTTTTGTTAATGTATTCTGTAGAGTGAACAAAGTGGCTCTCGAAATAATGATTCCAAAAGCATTTGCTCGTCAACAAACACGTCGATACAGGAAAACGATTTTAAACGTTTTGTTTTCCTTTGTGTAATTGTATCACAGCAATTTCTTGCGGATTGTGATTGCATCAGGTCGTTTCGCGGGTGAAGTATGGCAAAAATAGAAAACATTTAAGACTAAGTGATAAAGCCAAGACATTAGAAGACTTAAAAAAAGGTGTAGGGGGTGACTGTTTTATCCAAAGAATATGGTGTTGCTAAATCTACCATATACTCTATTAGAAACAGAAGGGTAAACATTTTAAAAAGGATCAACAATACTTTTAACGGACCAAGAAAAATTAAAACCTTAAGACATTCAGAGTGTCAACGAATGGAAAAAGCTCTGTATAAGTGGTTTCTAAAACAAAGAGAGAAGAATCTTCCCGTGACCGATTTAATGATCCAAGAGAAGGCCAAGCTGCTTCACAACGAATACAAAGAATTTTCCTCTTTCCATGCAAGCAGCGGCTGGTTGCAAAAATATAAAAGGCGCTTTGGAATACGTTACTTAAAGATTTCAGGAGAAAAACTGTCATCACAGCCTGAGCTTGTTGATCCTTTCAAAAGAAATCAAGAAGTAAAAATTAAAGATCTTCAACTGTCGAAAGATCAGATTTATAACGCAGACGAAACTGGCTTATATTGAAAGCTTATTCCTGGAAAAACATATGTAGCTCGCGAAGAGAAAACAGCTCCAGGTAGGAAAACCGAAAAACAAAAAGTGACCTCTCTAGCATGCACAAACGCGGCAAGTACGCACAAATTAAAACCACTAGTGATTGGAAAATCCAAAAATCCTCGATCATTTCGAAATTTCAACTGTCCTGTTCATTATAGAAACTCCAAAGCTGCTTAGATGACAGCAGCAATTTTTAGAGAATGGTTTCACTAGATGTTTATTCCAGAGGTAAGTTTCGCAATAGGAAAACATTTTAAATTGTACCATTTTTACGAACAAAAACGACATATTTCATCTGTGTAATTTCGAACCCTATAAATTTGTTTTTGCCACGATTTTTTCCCTTTTTTGCTGTTCCTGCTTGTGATTTAAGGTTTTGTTTCAACTTGTTTCAGGTGACAAAGTTCCTACGTAGTCAAAATCTGCAAGTTAAAGCCGTCCTTTTATTAGACAACGCATCAAGTCATTCACCCCCTGAGGAACTAAAAAGTGATTATGGTTCCATTTTTACTATTTACATGCCACTTAACGTTACTCCATTGATACAACCAATGGACCAAAATGCGATTCGTTTAACAAAACAGTTTAATCGCAAACATTTGTTGTCGCAGATTATTGGTACCGATAAGGATATAGGAGAAACTCTGAAATCTCTTTCTTTAAAAGACGCTATTGTAAATTTGGCCCTGGCATGGAAAAATTTAAAGCCTGAAGTTATGTTGTTGAAAAATTTAAATCCTGAAAAATGTTGGTACAATCTACTTTCGCCATTAGCCAACGAAGATGATGATGAAGAAGAAATTCCTTTAAGTGTTCTAAGAAGTCGAATAATGAATGAGGAAATCGATACAGTAAGATCAGAAATTGATAATTTACTACAAGCTTTCAATCCTGAAGTCAACATTTACACCATGGATGTAGACGGCTGGAATAAAGATATTTTGCCGGATAAAGAATCTGAAGACCACAGCGAAAGCGATGAAAATTGTCAAGATCAAGAACGGGGAGAAGTTGAAGTAATAAGAGAACGTGTGACAACCGAATCTGCGATCAAATCACTTAACAATGTAATTCAATGGGCTGAAGAAAATGAAGCGGAATACTCCAATCTACTCGTTTTACAAAACTTAAGAAATGAAATGGTCCAAAAAGGGTTTATGAGACAAAAACAAACTAACTAAACAAACAAAAATTACCTCATTTTTCGATAAAAAAGAATAAACTACTTTTTTATTAGTACATTATACTTATAACGTTTTTTTCCATAGTTAATAAAGTTCTTTTACTAATGACAACTGTTGTTTTAGTGACTTTTTGGAATATTCCATATAGTGAACAAATCGATCCAGTGAACTGGCTTTGCATTAATTAGTTCACTATATCGCGAGTTTACTGTATAAGTAAAGTTCATATCAAATAAACTTTTAGTCACGTGATTAAACTTGACCGACACCGTCCGTGTTTCTTTCAATGAAAATATTTTAGGAAACGAAAATAAATTAATTATATAAATACAGGGTGGCGCACCTCATTCGCCTCGGTTGATTATACGAAAACGGAAAGATGTAGAAATAAACTATTTTATGGGTATATGTGGGAAGGCAATGTGCATAATTTAAAATTATTTTGAAATGTACAGGGTGTGTCAGAACTAAGATCCATACCAAAGTTATATTTTTTCTTATGGAACAAACACCCAGTATTTTATTTCTATTATTGGATTCTTGGACATAAGGCATTTATTATAAGGGTTTAATAGGTCTAAAAGCTTTGGTTTTTTAGTTATTTAAAGATATTTAAATATGCATGCTATAATAAAAAGGTTTGTCAACACCTTGTACATTACTTTTCAGAATTAATTCTGGTAATGACTTTCAAGCCAGAGAAATAAACTTTACTAAAAGATTTGATTGCTTCCTTAAATGTATACAGGGGTATCAAAAATTGCTGGTCTATTTTAAATATTTATTTTACATAAAAACTGTCTTATTTCAAATGCAACACTATGTATTTTTTTAAATGAGTCGAAGCAGATTTAAATGCTCTTTCAAACTATATTAGGGTTTCCTATACCTATCCTGCTGAGATTTAAAATAAAAAGCGATTTTTCAAACTGTAATCAAGATGGCTGGTGTCGCCTTAAAGTTTTTCTAGTGACACTTAGTAGCTATTTTCAAAATCGACATTAGTTTATGGACTTTATTTAAATTTATAACAGGTTATTTAATTTTAATTTACCTACAATAATATTAATAAGTAATTATTTATTATTTTATCAAGAAAAATGAAGCAGTATATGCTGGCGGAAGGAATGCATATGTTACTAGTGATTTTATTTCGTCAATTATTGCTTGTTGACACGAAGGGTTCATGCTCAAATAGGAATCCAAATAGGAATCTTCCTGATAAGCGTTCATTTGAAAAACTACTTTTCCTATTTCGCAGAGCTGATTAGGCAGAAACCTGTTGTTGGAAGTGAAGAAAACGAATTTGCCTTAATTGGTTCTTTTATAGAAAATCCAATATATTAATTAAATTATATCCAATTAATAAATAAGTCATCGTAATATAAATCAAAGAACTACTTTATTTTTCTTGACAAAATAATACATTCTTACTTATTAAACTATTGTAGGTAAATTAAATAAAAGTAAGCTGTTATAAATTTAAATAATGTTCATAAACTGATGTCGATTTTGAAAATAGCTACTAAGTGTGACTAGAAAATTGACATGGCGACACCAGCCATCTTGATTACAGTTTTATTTAAAAATCGCTTTTTATTCAAAATCTGAGCCAGATAATATATGAAAGTATAGGAAACCCTATTATAGTTTGAAAGAGCATTTAAATCTACTTCGACTTATTTAAAAAAATACATAGTGTAAGTAAAGAAGTTTTTATGTAAAATAAATATTTAAAATATACATTTAAGGAAGCAATTAAATTTTTTAGTAAAGTTTATTTATCTGGCTTAAAAATCAGCACCAAAATTAATTCTGAAAACAAGGTGTTTGCAAACCTTTTTATTATAGCATGCATATTTAAATATCTTTAAATAACTCAAAAACCAAAGCTTTTAGACATATTAAACCCTTATAATAAATACCTTATTTTATGTCCAAGAATCCAAAAATGAAATAAAATATCGGGTGTGTTCCATAAGAAAATATATTACTTTGGTATGGATCTTAGTTCTGACACACCCTGTACATTTCAAAATAATTTTAAATTACGCACATTGCCTCTCTACATATACCCATAAAATATTTTGTTTCTACATGTTTCCGTTTTCGTATAATCAACCGATGCGAATGAGGTGCGCCACCCTGTATATAAAAAGTAGTTATTATTTACATCAACAAAATTCACCTTCTTAACAGCACTTAAGAGACATAAAGAGCCATTACTACCGCTTTCCCGTTTAAAATATTTTATTAAAGTTACGATAAGTTTTATACGGCTATTAAGCTATAAAAGACATTCGAAGAACAATGTTCGACTAGTAAAATGTTGGTCTGTTAGTAAAATGTTTAAGCTTAAAGTATCACAACACAATCCATTTAAACCTAAAACTTCTAATACAAAACTAAAGCGTCAAAACGAATGATAATGTCATGAAATAAATCTATACTAATATAGTGACTGACATACTGATTAATCACGATCTTGCCCAAACCACAGCTTAAGTAAAAAGCCTGTAAGCTTCTGTAAGCTGTGCCCAAACCGCTCAACGTAAGAAGCTCAATTTTGGCATACAGGTTGATTCTAGGGTGTAGAGGTTCGATAAGAAGGGATTTTTCGAAATTCCAGATCCAAGAGGCTGAAACCACCCCTCAAATATTACAATAAAAAAAGTTTCCGAAAAAAACGCTTAAACACGTATATTTTATTTTGTTTTTTTACATATTTTAAGATTTTTTAAAAATGTATACAGGGTGTTTCGAAAAATCTGGTCATTGATTAATCACGATCCTGCTTAAAGCGCTTGACGTAAAAAGCTGATTTTTGGAAAACAGATTGACTTTAGGGTGTAGAGGTTCGATAAAAAGAGATTTTTCGAAACTCAAATTCTAAGGGGGTGAAACTATCCCTCAAATATTAAAATATTTTTTATTTAAAAACCTGTGAGTTTTTCGGAAAAACTCAAACACGTATATTTTATTTTGTTGTTTTACAAATTTTAAGATTTTTTATAAATTTATACAGGGTGTTTCATAAAATATGACCATTGAGTAATGACGATTCTGCTTAAACTGCTTGACGTTTAAAGCTGATTTTTGGCAAACGGACTGACTGTGGGATGTAGAGGTTCGGTAAGGAGGGGTTTCTCGAATATCAAATTCCAAGAGGGTGAAACGCCCCTCAAATATTAGAATATTTGTCATTTAAAAAACAGTTAGTCTTTCGGGAAAACGCTTGGACAAGCATAATTTATTTGTTTTTTTTACATATTTTGATTTTTTTTAATCATACAGGGTGTTCCAATAATTTGGGTAATTTCTTAGCCACGATTCTGCTTAAACTGCTTGACGTAAAAAGCTTATTTTTGGCAAACGGATTTTTCGAAAGTCAAATTCCAACGAGATGAAACTACCCCTCAAATATTACCAATTATATATAGTAATATCGCCATATTGTTTTTTTCTCATGCTGACATAAATGTGAGAAAATTTTATCCAGTTTGTATGTTAATGGAAATTCTTGCTTTTTAAATTTATCATCACCAAATGATTAATTCGACGCGAACGAAGTCGCTGGTACACGCTAGTAAATAAATAAATGTGTCAATTTGACAATTTTTACAGCAGAGCTACCACCTGAATACCCAGCGAGGAATTTAAATTCCAGTTAGTCAACCCGGCGCCGAATATGTCCATGGTTGGCAACATTGAATTTAAAAATTGCCCCCTCGATTACGTAAGTAAACGTTTAATTGGTATCAATTAAAATTTCACCCCTAATTTCACATTCTTAGGTGATATTCACTTTTGTCAATTAAGGTACCTCTGTGCAAAATTTAATAATCCTAGCACTGATTTGAAAAATTTTCACACAAAATTTCACCCTTAGTTTCACCCCCTTAGATGAATTTCCGAAAAACGCTCCTAAGCGCTTTATTACATAACTTAAGCAACCTCTGTGCAAAATTTCAGATTTATAAAACCTATTTTTACCAAATTTTGTACTAATTTTCACCTTTAATTGTTCCCTCTAAGGGTCTGAATTTCCAAAAATTACTACTGAGTACTCATTTTTATTATTGAAGGGACAAATTTGTTATTTTTTAAAGTGCTGGCTGAATGCTGTAAAGGCAAGTGGCCATATTTCAGAAGAAGAAGGGACAAATGTGCAAAAAGTGTGATTGTGCAACATTTAATACTCCCTAACTCAGATTAAAAAAAATGTATACGAAATTCCATCCCTAATTTAACTCCCTAAGAGATACATCAATACATACGAAAATCGCTTCTTAAGCTTTATTCAAAACCTCAAAATTAGTAGAAAGAATTAGTGGTTTCAATTAGCTTTTTAGCTTTAAGTTTGTTCATCTAATTTCAATGTATGGATTTTTTAGAAGATTAAAATTAGTGATGGTACTTTTTAAGTAATAGAAAAAGTTCTATCAATTAAATGTTTTAACTTTTTTTACTAATTATAATTGAAAACGTTATTGCGCATGTGCGAGTAATGTCTGACTGCCGTATGCATAAACTGTAATTAAATTCTTCGTTCTGAAGGAAGTACTTAAAATACTTCTGTGGAAGATTTCGCACTTGTAGACTTTGACTTTTTTTTAAATAACATTGACCCCTAATTTCACCCTCTTAGGAGATGAATTTCCAAAAAAAATCTAAATTGCTTTAAAGTCCTAGAACTTTCACGTTAGTTTACCTCCCTTAGGGAATGGATATTTAATTCTAAATCGCTTTTAAGTCCTAGGACTTTCACCCTTAGTTTGACTCCCTTAGGGGATGAATGTCCAAATATTTTTTAGGGGTTAGTTACTTCGCTTAAAGGATCTTTGTGTGCAATATAATCAGGCCATATGGGAAAACGGGAAAATTTCCGGTGGGCCGGTCCCGATCAGAGCTCAAAAAAGATTGGAGTAGCAAAAATTAAATTAATCTTCTAACTAAAGTGACATAAGATCTTTAGTGATCCATAACTAACTAATCCA